GTGTATCTGTATTTCTGTCAGTGTGTGTGTCAGTGTGTGCATCTGTATATCTGTACGTGTGTGTGCATATCTGTATGTCTGTCAGTCTGTGTCTGTATATCTGTCCTTGTGTGTGAGTATCTGTATGTCTGTCCCTGTGTGTATATCTGTATTTTTATATGTAATATTATATCTTTACTTGGAAAGTGAGGCGCTAAAAATGTAACTATGATGATAGACATTTAGCCTATTTTAAATTTGGCCTTTACTTACTGCCAAGTTGTGCAGGTCTGCTTTGCCATATTAATAATTATGGTACCTTTGGATTGCGCAAGAAATCCATTTCATCAGCAGTTCATAAAGATTATATCTTTACGAAACACTAAGTGAAAGGCCAAAGTAGCCAAACTGAACATATAGCTAACTTGGAGAATTGTTCCAGTTACATTTTAAACTCAATAAATAAAAAAAAAGGTGGAGTGTGAATAAAATACAATAGTATACCTAATACATTTTGTAATGTAGCTAAATAATGATACAGTTGCTAATTGCCAACTCGCACAAAAAGAGCCAAAATAACCTGTTTCTGAGGTGTGGACCTGATGGTGACTTTCTGGTTCCACCAAATAAACAATAAATTATATCGCAGTCTCCAACCATTCCTACTGCCTTCCAATTGGTGTTCCGCCAAATGTTTTTTAAATAAAATGGCTGTAGGCGGCAAGGGAGCAGTGAGCAGCAGCTCGTCAGCCGCCCCACTGGACCACAGGGACTCCATACCAGCCGCCCAGCAGCTCCACTGGACCCCAGGGACTCCATGCCAGCCCTCCTAATGGTAGGCCTGGGTGGAGTAAAATGTTTAAAAGAAATAATAATTGTTCATGTGTCTTTTAGGGTGTTTGTGTGTCTGTCAAAGAGTATATATTTGTTTGTCAGTGAGAGTGAATGTGTGCTTGTCAGTGAGTGTGTGAGTGTATGTGTTTGTCAGTGAGAATGTATCTGTTCTTGTCAGTGAGAGTGTATATGTGTTTGTGTGTCTGTCAAAGAGTGTGTGTGTGTCTGTCAGTGAGAGTGTATGTGTGTCTGTCAAAGAGTATGTGTGTCTGAATGTGTCAATTTGTGTATCTGTGTGTCAAGGTTTGTGTATGTGTCAGTGTGTGTATCTAAGTGTGTGTGTATGTGCCAGTGTGTATCTGTGGGTGCAAGTGTGTGTATGTCACTGTGTGCATCTGAGTGTGTGTGTATTTGTGAATCAAGATGTGTGTGTCAGTGTGTATCTGTGTGTATATCTATGTGTCAAATACATACACACACAAACACACTGTTACACAATGACACAGAGATACACACACTGGCGCATATAAACACAGATATACACACCTTGACAAACACAGATACACACACTTTGAAACATAGATGCACACACCTTAACACACAGATACACACTGTGTGTCAAGGTGTGTGTGTGTGTGTATCTGTGTGTCAGATATATATACACACACTCTGGCACATACAAGCACAGATATACACACCTTGACACACATCTTCACATACAAAAAAGGTGCGATTTTGATTATTTTTTTTTCCATGGGGGGGAGGGGGGGGAGAAGATGTTGTTCTACGATGTTGATACACTATGTCAAAGGATTCCACGGGAAAAATCAATTACATCAAGCAGAAGGACTGCACATACAGGTGCATTCCTCCATGACTACATTTAGAAGCAGAAGTTGGAGTAACCTATTAACTCACATTGTATCAAAGAAGCTCAAGCCTGGAACTGATTTGCTTCAGAGTCAGTTGACCTCTTTCAGCCAATGAGCTCTGCTTTTCTCTGTAGAGGAGCAGGAGCTTATTGATTATTGTGCTTGGAGTGTGCCTTTAACAAAATTCATATACTTTTCTTTAAATAATAGATTGATTGTGCTTGTTGGTCTAACACTTTCTAATGATATCCTGCAGTCCATTTTTATTTTAAACCATAATTTAAGTCCTTTAACTTTAGGGATGCTTAACTGCAGTGCAGTGAAAAATCAATTACATCAAGCAGAAGGACTGCACATACAGGTGCATTCCTCCATGACTACATTTAGAAGCAGAAGTTGGAGTAACCTATTAACTCACATTGTATCAAAGAAGCTCAAGCCTGGAACTGATTTGCTTCAGAGTCAGTTGACCTCTTTCAGCCAATGAGCTCTGCTTTTCTCTGTAGAGGAGCAGGAGCTTATTGATTATTGTGCTTGGAGTGTGCCTTTAACAAAATTCATATACTTTTCTTTAAATAATAGATTGATTGTGCTTGTTGGTCTAACACTTTCTAATGATATCCTGCAGTCCATTTTTATTTTAAACCATAATTTAAGTCCTTTAACTTTAGGGATGCTTAACTGCAGTGTTGATTAATTTCAACACGTATTTCTTCATTCCAAGCAAAAGCAGAGGGACTTAAAAACCTTAAATATAGTGCTGCCCCAATGAGAGTCCATCATATAATGTAACATTCTTATAAAGGAATGCGGCTGTCAGACACCCCCTTCCACACTCACCTCTCTCTCTGTCAGTCTCTACACTGGCTTCCGAAAAGATTTAAGGTCCATCTTACTTGCAGATTGCTTTATAACTCTGTCTCACATACCTATCCTCAGAGTCAGATTAAAATATCAGTGTCACTAGACACAGAATTCTAATGTCCCACCCTCTTTTAAAAAGAAAAATCATCTACTGTTAGTTTATTTACTGGACATCGCTGGTGTAAAAATGTCTAAAAATCATATATTTATATCAGATAACTGCATAATGTGCATACTAATGCTTTTAAAGTATTGTGTTTGAATTTGCGGTATAGGGAATGTAAAGGTTGGGTTAAAGGAGCCCTATAGAATTAATAATACAAATATGTATTCCAAACAGTATAGTGCCCTTGTCATACTGCAAGTGACCAGAGTCCCCACTGCAAGGGTTAAAAAAGGAATATTACTTACCTTTTTTTTTCCTCGCAATGCCAGTCTCCTCGGTTAAGCTCCACCTCTTTGGTTGAGATATTTGAGATCGACATTCTCCGCCAATCGAATGATATCTCATAGGAAAGCATTGGGAGGCTAGTGCACCTGCATGTCAGATTGCTACGCAGCGCCAATCAGATGGTTTCCTGAGACCATTTGATAGAACTAGTGGATTTTTACTCCATTTCACTAGCATTGACATTCCTGCAAAATGGCAATGCTAGCAGTTGCAAGGTTAAAAAAGGGGGGGTGGGGGGGACATGGCACACATACTTCTTAAGGAATATTATAGGAATACAAATACACATTACAAATGTGTTCTACTATTTCAATTTAGGATCCCTGTACAATAAGGGGAAAGAGACATTTTACTTACACTGTTTCCATTGCCAAGACCCACTCCATGCTGCTGTCTGGGTACCCTTCATTATTGTCTTCCTGCAGGCTAACTGCTCTGCTGCTTCTTATTCTATCCAATGCTTCTCATGGAGAAGCATTGGGGGACAATAAGCGGAAAGCTCTTCACACTCCTCCAATACAATACTTCTCTATTAGAAGACATTCAATGTTGTCATGCGATGCATCGGGACGAACGTCACGGAACAGAGTCAGAGTCTGTTGTCGGTGCAGGAGCACCATCTAGTGGCTGTCAGGAAGGCATCACACGATCTCCAAAATGGCAGTTTTACGTTAGTGCTTTAAAAATAATGTAAAAGAAGGGGCTTAAAGCTTGGGAGGGGTTAACATCAGCATTAGATAACAGGAGACATTTAGTTTAGACCAGTGGTTCCCAAGCTATTTAGGTTCAAGGCGTCCTTAATATTTCAGTATTTTTCCAAAGCACCCCAAATCAAAATGTCTAGGTTGTATAGCTACACAACGCTGCGGCATTTACAGGCTCTATAGTGTAATGTACAGTGTTGGTGTTTGAAGGGGTGCTTGTATATTGTTATTGTGTTTTATGTGAAGTTTGTTTGACTGTAATGTTCACTATTATATGCGGATGTACATTTGTGTGATATATTTGAGTAAAGGGGTGTGTTTGTATGTATTTTTTGAGTTTGAGTGAAGGGGTGTGTGTAATATTTGAGTTAGATTGCAGGAGTGTGCTTGTAAGTTGTGCTGGTGTTTGACTGCTGGGATGTATGCACATAAACACACAGATGCTTATGAATACACTGACACAGACATTCATATAGACACTGACATACACACATAATAAACACATGCACCATGATACAGAAGCACACTGACATATATATATATATATACACACACACTCATACAAATACAAGTGCTTTTTTATTATTTCTCCACCCACCCTCCTGTTTTCTCCACCTTACATTATGTGCCAGGAGGGTGGCTTAGAGTCCTGCTGTTGGTGGGAGTCAGAGGTCTGGAGCTCTTCATGCTCCTCTCCCCTCACGCAGCGCCTGCCGCCTCCTCTGCTGCCTGCATGCATGATGCTGGGAGGAAGTGACAGGCTGTGTATCTCACCTGTTTACAATCTTCACCAAGTAAAGGTTTAAGTCTAACTGCAGTATAACCCAAAACCCATGTAGTTATCACCATATGCTCCTTTTATTTTACCTTATAACAGTAAAATACACATACGTTACTGTTCTCTCTTACCCTGTCCTAGCCTCTCATAGAGCTCACTAAGCTGGACTCACTCCACTAACTAGATAGGGAGACATAGCTTGAAATATGTTTTATCACATTAAATGTGCTGAACTCACTAATGCCATATTCTGTAGAACCATGTTTTTACAATGTGTGCTTACGCTATTGTGGCAATGTAAGCTTACTTGTTACGCTCACACTAAAAAAATAAAAATCAAGATGAGTTTGTCAAACTATTTTGACTTCCACTTCTTTAGTTGTCCTAGTTGGGAAAGGAGTGCATTTAAAAAGAAATACTTAAATTACTGAGGGACAAACATCAAAAAGGACTAAAATCTCAAAAAATGTTGACTCAATTAAAAAACAGACCGCAACTGAAGATTTATATTTTATTCACACAAATTAAATTCAACATTCTAGGCAAAACAGTGCTAGTGTGGGTGTAATTACAAAATATTTTACAAGACAGATGAATATAAAATCTATTAGAAATAAAATACCAATAGTAGGATGTCATGGATAAGATATGGGTCGGAGATAGAGGCAAGATGAAATGAAAGTGAGGGAGAAGGAAGGAAGAAAAAAAAATTCAATTCAATGCTGCATTCCGATTGACTTCTTTGCAGCAAACCAGAATATACAGCTAAAATTTAAATGATGTGGACTGACCGACCATTAAATATTCAGATAAAAAATAACGGCTCTTGTTATCTATTATAAAATGCAGGCTTATAAAAGAAACAAGTTTAACAATAAATAAACAAAACACAAACACAAAACCAGATATGGTATATAACAGTGTACATGTATGCTTGAAACAACTCAAGTTAGAGAAGACAAAACATTACAAAGAATTAAAGGACCACTCTAGGCACCCAGACCACTTCAGCTTAATGAAGTGGTCTGGGTGCCAGGTCCAGCTAGGATTAACCCATTCTTTTATAAACATAAACTTTTATGAATGGGTTAAGCCTTCCCCCAAAGCCTCTAGCGGCTGTCTCATTGACAGCCGCTAGAGGCGCTTGCGTGCTTCTCACTGTGATTTTCACAGTGAGAGCATGCCAGCATCCATAGGAAAGCATTGTAAATGCTCTTGCCGTGCGTGCGCATTCAGCCGACGGGGAGGATCGGAGGAGGAGAGCTCCCCGCCCAGCGCTGGAAAAAGGTAAGTTTTTACCGCTTTCCCCCTTCCAGAGCATGTTTTCCTGGCACTATAGTGGTCCTTTAAGAAATTTTAATCAATATATAAATATGCACAAGATCAGAAGTTATCTTTGCCAAGCATGTTTAAATTACAAATAAATAACCTAACACTTGCCAGTGCTTACTTCCAAAAATTAAATGGTTTTACAGAAGATTAATACACTTTGTATTAGCCAATTTATTAAAAATAATAAAAATTGTCCCTTTTTGCATAAACACATTTTAACTGTAAAAAAAATGTAATGCATAAAAAACAAACTACAAAACTGACCAGTATCATTCAATATAAGTTTGTATAAAGTTGCTAAGTGAGAAGACAGCAAAGACAGCTTGATAATGTACTAGTGTGCAAATCTGCAGCATATATAAATGTTTATTTATAGGTTTTAATGATATATGCATTATTTGAAAGCAGAGAGCAAAAAAAAAAAGTCCACTAGATTTAAACAAAGGTGGGAAAAATTAAGACTCACAGTATGTAGTTAATGTTTTAGAAACTGACTAAAATAAAACTGTATCCAAATATACAAAAAAAATAAAAAACCCAACGTAAAGATAATGGCTATAACAGTTCATGCACCTTTTGGTAATAGACTGGAAGTAGAGAAAAAGCAGAATGTTCCCTCCCAGACAAGCAAAGGACTCTGGCAATTAGGAAACTCTTATTCTGGCCTAGGCAGCGAGATTTTATCCCATACGCCACTGTACAGCAGGGGTTTATGAGATGAGTAGTTCAGTAAACAGCTGTACTTCCAATCATGCCAGAGGATTAGTGGAACTGCTGAGCTGAAGAAGCACAGTTTATGTTTGTGAACATATCAGGATTATGCAGACTACCTGTCTACTAGACATTACAGGGTTATTTACTAAAGTGAGACTTCAAAGTAAATTTCCAATTTAAGGCCAAATTAGAAACATTCTCTAATCAGCTATGCTTTCAGTTTGCCTCCTCTGGCCTTACATTTGAAATTCACTTTGAATTCTCACTCGAGTAAATAACCCTGTGTTTGTTCTACATGTTAACTAACACCTGTCCTCATCTTATTTCTTTCTTATTTGGATATACTGGGTGTTATACATTTTAAATTATCTTTTGTCATTAGGTTTTTTCAATTGATGTTTTTTTTTTTTCTTTTTTCTTGGATCCGCACGATGATTGTTTTGTCCAACACAGAATTATTGAGGCGATATTTTACTGTGCTACAGTCTCTCTTTAAATGTTTATGGTTGTAGAAGAATTTGCTGAGTGGAAGTTTTATTTCAGGCACCAAATCATTATTTAAAGAATAACCCCCACAATATATAATTTAATATAGAAACCTTCAAATTGCAGACAATTCATTTCTTTCAACTCTGGTAAATGTGGTTCCAATATTTACTGGAGTGAGATGTAATGGAGGTAACAATTAAACACATAGTTTAACCACTGACCGTTCCCCTTTCTCTGCGATGCCCAAGTGGGCACAACATCTTTATATTTACTAGGGCATTTCTCCCTTAAAGCTGTATGCATGTAAGCCTCCTCAAGGGTCTCTGTGCAAAGACGTGCGGGATTGATTTAATGTACACTTTTGCATGTCTGTCATATAATTACAAATACAATCTAAAAACAAACGATCCAACTCACAGTTAACTTTTAACCAACTAATTGGTTGAAAAATATTTTTGATGGTGACTTCTAAAATAAATACATTTAAAAAAATTATATATATATATGTATATATATTTTTATATCTGTTTGTCAAGCTCTGATAAGTAAGGCTAGTGGTATTGTAATTGTACCAAAGTGGTAAAACCAACAAAAAGAAAGGTGTAATACTGAAGAGGTACCCTCTAAAATATAAACCCCAAGGTTATTAATAATTGAACAATTTCAAGGGGTTACCATCATGCATATTAACCACTACAGCCCGCTACAGTAGTTATAATGCCAAGAGTATCCAGGCCTTGTTTCGTGGTAATGGGGCAAAATGTCTATCAATGGTTTGCCCTCTTACCAGGAACCCTGGAGGGCACATAGGGTCCTCTAAGGCCTGTAATGTGCATCTGGCTTCCACAAAACTGCAGGAGACGGATGCTGATCCCATTGACCATTTGTTGGCTGAGAGCACTATCTGATTGCTCTCAGGCAATAAATGATAATTCAGTGCAAAGAGATATGTACAGATTTTACATTAGCCAGCTTGACATTCTGGTTCTAAGCGGACTAATAATGCCCCAATGATGGTGCCGGAGGTAGAGTTAGACCTCCTGCAGCAAAGGGGTTAAAGTCTGTACGTGCAGTGTTTCATCGTGAAACAGATTGCAGATACAATGGCTTCAAATCACTAAACCCTTTAACCAATTGCAGTTTAAAAAAACAAAACAAAAAAAACACCAACGTTTGGTCCTTTGTTCAGCAGCCCATTAATATATTTAACACACAGATGTCCGATTAGGTATTCTCCCCTTGTAAAAGAGGATTGGAGGCATCTTCTGTTTCTACATTGGTGATTAGTATGTATGCTCTCCGTCTATACCTCCGGGCGCAATATAAGCTTACAGCAGCAGCGATGAGTGATATCAAACCAGAGCAAATGGCAAAGATATAACTATCACCAAAATAGACAAAATTTTCTTTAGTTTTCAGTAGTCGCAGTTCTCGGAGGATTAATGTGAAGAGGTAAGAAGACAGGCTCACAGCTCCAGCTGTTGACAAGGCTGCAAACGTTAGGAATAAAAATAAATAAAATTACATTTTGTTCAACCACTTTTATTCATGAACTCACACATTCATTGTGTTGGGATGAACAATGCAGTTGAAAATACTTAATTTAAAATGATTGAAAATAAATATAAAAACAAATACTTGATAAGAAGCTGCATGTAAGTAATAGGACACCTAAAATGTTATTTTAAAACATTCATTATAATTTATGAAATTTACATACTATGTCAGGCACCATGTGTAAATTAACTTAACTCCTGAAATGCTGTACTCATGGAGTATATGTGAAGGAAAGCTTTAAGTGTACCACATTTCTCCAAGTAGACATTAGCATTATTGAGGATTGGAGCACTAACATCAACAAAGAAGAAATGCAGAAGAGTAAGTGTGCAATTGAATGTTTCATGATAAATTAATAACCAAGGGGTTAATGCCTGCAGTGCTGACTGTTGTATCTGCTTCACATGTGAGATAGGTTATATAACCTGTGTTATCCACCTGCCTTGTGTACTTAAACACCAAAACAGCTCCCCCGGCTGTTACTCACACAGTCTCCATGAAAAACATCATAGAGTGTTTACTTTGGAAGTTTTTATCTCCTGATCTGTTAATTACACTTTAAGAAGAAGCTATTTTAGGCTCTAGCAGGCTATTAACAGAGCAGGAGATTTTTTATTTTATTTTTTGTAAGCAGACTGTACAATAAAAGTAGCAAAATAAAATTATGGGTAGTGGCATAAGTCACATGCAGGGAGATGTGATTAGGGCTGTATAAACAGTGATTTAACTCCTAAACTGCAGAGAATTGAGCAATGAGACTGCAGGGGCATGATCTATACACCACAACTGCTTCATTTAGATGAAGTTGGTTTGGAATTTAGGAGTGTCCCTTTAAGGATAAGCAAAATGTTTTCATCTTTCAGACCTTGGTTCTGGTGCTTAGTCATGGCATTTCGTCTACCCTGCACAGTGTAATGCCAGAAGGTATGGTGCTAGTCTGTCACAATCTCTGGCTCTTTTGTTTGTTGTATAGAATTGGCCCCAGCATCACATCTATAATGTATGCATGCTCGGGTGATTGCTGCCCTCTTGTTTTCATATATAAATATACATTGTATTCCTAGATCGGAACCCCTGTTTTACACTACTCCCTGTCACATGTACCTCATTCTAGGGCCCTATTTAACCCTGCACTGCTGAGAACCCCAGGAAAACTATTTCCCCAGTAAGTGGATTAACCTAGTAAGAGCAGGCATTAGGTTGCAAGGTTAGGACCTGCCAAGAATGGGGTACATTGATGTTATGGCAGGCTTATGCACTGTATGATTATATAAGGTAACTAAACCCCCATTATTTTGCCTAAGTGAGGTGTTTTAAAAAAATAAATATTACATTATGCAAAAGATTATATATATATATATATATATATATATATATTTATATATAAAAAGAGAGAGAGAGAGCTTATGCACTGTATGATTATATACGGTAACTAAACCCCCATTATTTTGGTGTTTTAAAAAAATAAATATTACATTATGAGAGAGAGAGAGAGATCGTATTAGTCCAGTGATGTAGATGTTAAAAACAGATAAAATTCCTTCTTTTATTGGATTAATAGAATTTTGTTTATAATGACAAGCTTTCGGGAGAACCTCCCTTTCTCAAGTCTAAAGAAAGTCTTTTAAAAACACACACACACACACACACACACACACACACACACACGACTTTCTTCATATATATGACAATTTTAATTCAACAATCACCACTGTTTCTATTACTTATTGTATGAAAATACTATAAAAACTTTTACAAAAACAAACAACAAACAAACTAGATGACAGGTTGGCTTTAAATATACAAAGCGAAGTTACATTGAATCCACATTATAAATAAAACTTTACGAGATTTGATAGCCCCATCTAGTGGACAGAGTACTAAACAATTACCACATAGGTATCTTGTAATGACAGTTATCTGCATAGCATTAAAGGATTAGACAATTTTTTCCCTATTTATTGAACTGTAAGGGTTGTGCCATCCATGTCTGTGTGGCACAGACTGAGGATCCCACTTAAATACACATGCAGTCCCTGGCTCACTACTAATCACACTTGCTTTAATACTTTTTGGGGTGACTTGTCCAGATTCATAAAAAGCCAGGAGGGCTTCCTGATTCTCTCCGATGTTTAACAAAAGCCAGGTGGGCTGAAACTCCACCTTTTTGTTTGGCCCCTTAAAATAAAGGATCACAAGACAAAGGTCTCTGCTGGGAATTTTTATGGTAATCATTTGGGCTGTGGGTAGAGCCTGGTCCGTGCACCCTAACTGGAACATTATCTTCAGACCTTCTCTAGACTACTGAGAGTTACACTCCTGGGTCATACAAATGAGCTCCATGGCTGAATGTTGCACTGTCACAGGATACCACTTTTGGCACAAGTCAGTTTATGAAATTTCTTCCCTAGTAGATCTGCACTGGTCAACTGTAAGTGCTATTTTTGTTAGGTGGAGAACCTAGGAGCAACAACAGCCGAGCCACACATACTCCTAGAGAGGGGGCGCCGAGTGCTGAAGCATCTGCTGCATCACTCACTAGAGAGTTACAAACTGGATACAACATCAGCACAAGGACTGTGCATTGGGAGCTACATTAAATGGGTTTCCAAGGCCGACAAGCTGTATACAAGCCTCACATCAACATGCACAATGCCAAGCCTTGGCACGAGTGGAGTAAAGCATGATGGACTTTGGAGAAGGGGAAACGTGTTCTCTGGAGTGATGTACCATGCTTCACTATCTGTAAGTCTAATGAAAGATTTTGGGTGTGGTGGATGCCAAGAAAATACTACCTAATGGAATACATAATGCCCACTATAAAGTTTGGTAGAGGAAGGATAATAGTCTGGACCTGTTTGATCATGGTTGGGCCGGGCCCATTGGTTCCAGTTATCTTTATGCTACAAGATACAAAAAGACAACTTAATGCTTCCCACTTTGTGACAACAGCTTTGGGAGAGCCTGTTCCAGCATGACCCATCTATGTGCTCAAAGTGGGGTACATAAAGACATGGTGGGTTTGGTGTGGATGACCTCAGCCCCATGGAACACCTCTTGGATGAATTAGAATGCTGGGATCTGACATCAACATGAGCACCCGACCTCACAATCTAAGATATTGCATTAATGCTTCCAGAGTGGCTGTTATAGTTTCAAATGGTGAGTTATGGGGTATTGCTTCTTCTTAATACCCATGGTTTTCAAATGGGATGTCCAACAAGCTTAGATACAATATCCAGATACATATATATATATATATATATATAACATAATAATATAATGTACGTGTTGCTGAGCAATCAGGGGCTTTAGATTGTAAAGTGTCAGATCACTATGCATTCATATTTTTAATTCATGGTATGACATCAGCCTCTGCTTAAAATCATATTTTATATAAAAAATTATTAAATTAAGAGGTTCTGGAGACATCATAATAAGCAATGAGACTAAAGGTCTAAAGATTTCTAAATGTTTCCAAAACCTTGAGTTGGCATTTTCCCCAGTACAGGCTACACAATTATGTACCTCTTATATTAGATGATATTTTTTAGGTTTGAGTATCACTATCCGTGTTAAGGTAGAGTATAATGGTGTTCGTGCAGTGTAAGGGTTAATGTTTAGTGGTCCTGTTACTAGCACTGAATGTGATTAAAGGAGCCAGTCCCCATGACTAGTACAGCTGAAACACACACAGAAAGCCTTACTATTGGTTAAAGGCAGCGCATTCAGTTGCGTTAGTTGTGTCAAAATGTGTTCTGCTCAGAGAGTCGCACATGGTAACACGCACTCATCTTATATAATCTTACTAGCAGTACAATGCAGAACACTCTCACGAAGGTTACCTGTGGTAATGTCAGTCCCTCAATAAATGAGTGGTAATTGTAATACACAGCATTTCACAGAGGGTTACCTGTAGTAAAATGAAGGATGGGTGTAATGTTTGTTCCCAGGACTCTCTTGTTTCTGGTCTCCACAAAATCGAGCAGGAATGCTGCCAAACCCAACAAAATACTGATATAGCAACAAGTCACCATCAAAATCAGGATATTTGTCCCACTCTGGTGAAGTAAGTGATCTGACCCTAGGAAGAAAAATAATTTAGGATCAATACCAAATGCATTATAATAGGAGGGTAAGTTTAGTTTAGATTCTTACACAAACACAAAATAGCCTTTCTGTAAATTATTTTAAAAAGGAAGTGTCACTTCTTTGGAATTTGCAACATTTAATAAAACTGTAAAAAATCACTATAACTTCTTTTACACTTTTTCATGAGATGCTCTGTTTTCTTGTAAAATGTAAATTACAGCTTTAGCAAATTACATCATCATTCAATTCAGACAAGGATAAGCCAGGGCGCGCACAGCAAATAAAAACATTGGAGAAGATTAAATGTGATTTAAAAAAAAACAAAAAACAAACCAAAAGCTGTCTTAGTTTTTTGTTTCCAATCTGTTCATAATTATTAAATTGTTCTAAAAATGATTTAATAAAAAGTTTTCAGAAAAGTCCATTCAAGAATCAGCTTCCAAATTTATAGCAGAGGTGAAAAAATGATAAGTAGAACAGTCAGCTTTGCTGACAGAAAAAGAGATGTGGACTTAAATTAATTTTGCACACCTCAAAATACATATTTGTTAAATACAGGAATGAGTTAATATAAAAGTGCCAAGAAATTTCCATTCATACCAATATTATTAACTGGTCAATGTTATGTAATGTAGTTTTCATCTAGCAGTTATAGAAAGTTTAGTTGTAACTAATACTTTAAAAATGGGACATTTTCAAGTATCTTGGAATTTTATCACAAATTTTCAAACCCTTTACAAACGGTCGAAATTCAAAGTGAACTTTAAACATAAAAGCATATACTTTGAATTCGCACTTTACTGAATAACCCTGTCTGTAATAACAATTGTTAATTTCAAGCGACACTCTAGTCACCAGAACAACTACAGCTTAATGTAGTTTTTCTGGTTAGTATAGTCAGTCCCTGCAGGCCTTTTGCTGTAAACACTGCCTTTACATAGGAAAGCATTGGACTGGCTGAGATGGTAAATTCTGATGATCTCAGGCAAGGAAGCGAGTTGTGGAGGGGGGAGGACGGGAGCCAAATGTCAGCCTGGCCTGTCAGCATCCCCTTATAGAGATGCATTGAATCAATGCATCTCTATGAGGAAGTCCAGTGTCTTCACGCAGAGGTGGAGACACTGAATGTCAGTGTTGCACAGTGTGCAGCACTTCCCCAGGAAGCATCTCTAGTAGCCATCTGAGTGGCCACTTGAGGCGCCCCTAGGCTGTAATGTAAACACTGCCTTTTGTTTGAAAAGGCAGTGTTTACATTAAAAGTCCTGCAGGGTCTGACAATACAATACATTAAGCTGTAGTAGTTCTGGTGACTATAGTGTCCATTTAACGGAAAAAAAAGTTAGGTTCTAGTGAAAAAAATGTTCCTCAATCTAAAAAATACAGAAACTGAGAAAAGACTCAGTCACAAAGTGAGATGCAGTGATTAGTAATGCCCCATCTCAGAAAATATTTCACGTGACTATGAATTCTAATAGCCAACAAAAGCTAATTAGTTGTTGCCTGACATCATATGTAAACACATTATGTCATGCACACATTTTAAGAGTAGAGTGCCTCAATGGGACAGTCTGCTGATTGCCTTGAAGTATAATGGAAACTAGTGTGTTTTAAAACTATATCAGCTGCGCATCAAACCTGAAACAGCTCTTCTATAGTGTTTACTGCGGACATGTGAAGGACATAGGAACTGTCACACAAAAAAAACACATAGTTCCTCTTTATGACTGGGGGAGGGAGAGATATTAACGTTTTCTGTTGTTAGAAGTGGTCTGAGCTACTAAAAGTGGGACAATCACCATAGAAACCAGCAGGCACATCTCATTGACGGCTCCTTGATTTTGGCGATTTAAATCGGAATTGTTCACGGTTTATTTAATAAATTCCCTTAAAGTACAGAAATCACTTGGGACATCTTTTAATCAACCTGTACAATATACCGGCTCATTAAAATAACTGAAAATGAGTAATAATTAAAAGTTTTCTTTTGAAGGAAGGACTATATTGTCAGGAATACAAATGTGTATTCCTGACCCTATAGTGTTAAAATCAATATTTAGTCCTCCCCTCAAATAAGTATAAAACGTACCTTTATTTCAGCATTGTGTGGGTCTGACAGAATTTACGATCTCAGTCAATCCTATGCTTTACCATTGAAAAGCAATCACACATGCGCAGCAAAATGTGGGGTGCACCAATCAGCATATCCTCATAGAGATGCATTAAATCAAAACGTCTCTGTAGCGAATGGTACCTCCAGAGCTCCATAACTCACGAACGGGAAGACGAATCAGCCCCCCGTTCGGTGAGTTTATAGTTCCGAATGAGGGAAGTCATGCAAACCTAACTGTATTAGTGGATGGCAGGTTTTTATGTGTCTTTTACCTCCCGAACGGAGACCGACCGCAGGGCCAAAACGCATGGAACCCTTTTCGGATACCACCTCGTGTGCGGTTGGTCAAATTGCACCCTCCACCTAACTCCCGAACCCCTGGTCTGATCTGGGTGAATTTTGGATATGTTGGTCACCCAGATCAGGGCTACCAGGGTATTGGTGTACCTGCTAATCTTGGGGTACATCCAGGTCTTAAGGAAAACTATAACATGTATAATGAGATTAGGTGTCATACTAAGGGGAGGAGTGTGTGGGAGGTAACTGATATTCCATTGGGTACTGTACTAATGAATGAGAATCCCTCCCTTGCATGGGAGAAATGCTTAAAAGGAGGTTGTGTGGATTAAAAGTTAGTTTTGCTCCTGATGCTGTGTGTCGTCCAGTCATTGGGATCTGTATGGGGATATTCGTGGATTACCTTGCTTGCTGGAATTATTACTTTATGGGATTTTTCATCACTTGTTCCTGAGCCTCAATGGGATCTTAACCTGTGAAATACCAGGCCTCCGCTACAGTCTCCATGCAGAGGTGTTCCTAAAAATGTCTGCAGGGAATAGCAATACTCAGCAGAACAACTACATTAAGCTATAGTTGTTCAGGTGACTGTAGTGTCCCTTTAATAGAGAATATGGCTTTATCAAAACACAGCTGATAAATAATCTCACACTTGATGGAAACAGATTGTCACAAATATATACATCCATTTTCTTTAGTTGGTTTGCAACCACAGATTACAGAATTTTAAAAATGTAGAACGAACAGAGAAGGAAATAAACGGTAGCTCAGCTGGGGAAAAAATATTTCTGTAAAAAAAAAAAAAAAAAAGTGACTAGATTGCATTAAGTTACAAGGGTCAAGTTGAGTGTTTCCTACAATTATTAAACCAGGAAGAGGACACTAAGTAAAATGTAAAAATACAAGATAGAATCACAATTGCCTATGACTGCTCTAGGTCACGGGGTAGGCAACCCTCGGCTCTCCAGATGTTGTGGACTACATCTCCCCTGATGCTTTGCCCGTATTACGGGAAACGTAGTCCCCAACATTTGGAGTGCTGAGTCTTGATCTAAAATCATAACCACTTGGTCTCTTTTAAGCAGTTATGGTGCCTATGATCCCAGACATCTGATTGGTCTGTCAGTGAAAAATAATTCATTGTTGCACATGGAGATATAGCGCTCTGCACCTGTACCGCTTACCCTAATTCCTCTCCATCCAATCCACCACCTCTCTGTACATCGTCTGCCCGTTCCCACCCTCTCTGTACATCGTCTGCCCGTTCCCACCCTCTCTGTACATCGTCTGCCCGTTCCCACCCTCTCTGTACATCGTCTGCCCGTTCCCACCCTCTCTGTACATCGTCTGCCCGTTCCCACCCTCTCTGTACATCGTCTGCCCGTTCCCACCCTCTCTGTACATCGACTGCCCGTTCCCACCCTCTCTGTACATCGTCTGCCCGTTTCCACCCTCTGCCCATTCCCATCCTCTCTGTATATTGTCTGCCCGTTCCCACCCTCTCTGTACATCGTCTGCCCGTTCCCATCCTCTCTGTA